GTTTTCAGAAAAAACAAGTCAAAATTAAGTGAGTTTTTGCTTAGAACAAGCAAAATAATCTGCCAATGGGGTAAGCAAAATAATCTTATTTCAAACAGAAAACAAGATTATTTTGCTTACCCCATTGGCAGATTATTTTGCTTGTTTTTTTTTTCTGAAAACAAGACAATCATTTTTACTTGTCTAGAAAATCCTTCTTGATTTAAGAATTTTAAGATATTTTGGCTGGAAACAAGACAAAAGATCTAAACAAGAAAAGCATTTTTTTGCAGTGTGGTAATTTATTCTTCGTGATTGTATCTTATCATTTTAGTTGAATTTATTGTTTAATTAACATTTTGATAAACATTTGTAAATCTATTTTTTTTTTTGGCACAAAAGATGACATACATTTAATACATTTAGAAAAATGGCATTACACAGAAAAAAAAGAAGTCAAATATCACCTTATAATGGGAATATTCATTTCTGTCATTGATCAGGTGTTCCTAATATATTTATTTATTTCTTTTTTAAGTAGGAGCAAGTGCTCCTGAAAAGAAATGTAAGCGTAAGCGAGTCATTAAAAAATGTCATGTTACCTTTTCAAAACTAATTGCAAACGTTCTGGCAAAGTGTAAACTATTAAATATAATCTACAAATCATGCAATACTGTACCACTAAATAATAAGTGTTTTGAGGGCTTTGCTAAACAAGCCAATTAGAGACAATAATCATTCAAATTTTTTTATTAAATTATACTTTCATTTCACTAATCAAATCAGTTTTTTTTTCTTTATAAAAACAGGGGGTCTTTAATGATGCTTACATTATAACGTGCAAAATCACACACAATGTGTCTTTAATTTGGCCAGAATTGCAGGTGCAGAATTTGGGGCAAAGTGAGCCAAATGCTTTGGGGTAAATTGAGTCAGCATTTTAACTTACCCCACCATAAGGCACTGTTGTCAAGTTAAATCTCTGAATTATAAACTGGTGTTTTAATGTGATATTACTGGTTTAGTTTATCATATGTACATATTCTTTGTAGTTTATTATATAAGGACAGTGTACAAGTGCACCAAATTCTTCTCTGATAAGAACCAGAAAATGCTTTTCATCACATTATAATCAGATATATCTTTCCACCTGTAGTCACTAATGGCCAACAAACTCTCTGTTTAGTCTGTTTTTAGGAAGGTGTTTTGCTATTCGGCCCGAATCAGTTTTCTAAAGTGTTTTTGAAAAATCACATACCCTGCCTTTAATGGATGTATGATGAAGAAAATTGTTAGAAATAGTATAAGTAACATCAATGGACATAGTATGTATGCTAAATTGTAAAATTACTCATACATGTCTGTAATGCATGTGGAAAGTATACTTTGCTCTCTTTAGTGATTTTCAATTTATTTTCTTTATTGTAAAACTATATATTTTTTATTTGATCCGGCATACGTGATGTATTTTACATTTAAAATAAGATTTTCCATTTTCCAAAGCTGTTTGCAAGTATAGTTTGGCAGAAAATATGTTTGAAATATGTGTATTCTTCTTCTTATAGACAGTGAAACAGCCGTGTACACCCTCATGCCCATGGTCATGGCTGACCAGCACAGGTAAGTGTCACCGTTACCCTGTGCATGTAACTGGAACACAATTAATGACTTAACAAAAGGCCAAGAGAAGCAGGCACACAATAACTGGTCTAGTCCCTGTCTAAAAAACCCCAAAATGCCACTCACTCCTGCAGCTTCCCCAGTACAACGTTTCCAGTACAGAATGTATGACAGGCTCAATGATCAACAGCTGTAAATTTAATGGAAGCTAAAGAAGAGGATGTCAAGCTTAACATCATCTTTGGGCGGCAGTCGTCTCCCGTCTCTTGGGCCACACAGCTGAATGTAATAATTGTGTTATGTTTATTGCCATTTTAATTTATTATTATAATTTTTTTTGCTTATAGGTCAGTTTCTGAATTGCTTTTAAACTCAAAGTTTGATGTCAACTACGCATTTGGACGTGTTAAAAGAAGCCTTCTACATATTGCTGCCAAGTAAGAGTTTTGTTCTTTTCACAATCACAAAAAATTACAGAAATTACACGTCCACTTTTTTTTAACGTGTTCCCTATTTGCTCTTTTAAAATTCTAAAACTCTTAATGAAGTGGTTTCCGGGTGTTTCCTAAATAAACAATTATTTGTAATATTCTGATGACCCAGTTTGATCATGTTCTCTGAAGTTTTTGTTGTTGTTTCAGCTGTGGATCGGTAGAGTGTCTTGTCCTGCTGTTAAAGCGTGGAGCGAATCCAAACTATCAGGATATCTCCGGCTGCACACCTCTGCATCTGGCTGCAAGAAACGGGTAAATGAGGGTTTTATAAACTCCAGTACTGGAGCATAACAAATTACATTTCTTAGTCCTTATCCCGCATGCACGGAAGTCCTAGAGGTTATGGATTATTCTTATTTTTCTTTCTTGCTTTCTCGTTATCACGACTTTATTTTCTCGTGATCTCGACATAACAAAAGTTGTTCTCCAAGTTACACAACTGCGCCAACAGGTGGCAGTATAGACCTGAATATAACTGATGGGGCGTTGTATACTGCAGTGGTTCCCAACCCTGGTCCTGGAGGCACCCCGAAAACACTGCACGTTTTGCATGTCTCCTTAATCAAACACACCTGATTCAGGTCATCAGCTCATTAGTAGAGACTCCAAGACCTGAAATTGGTGTGTCAGAGGAAGGAGACATGCAAAATGTGCAGTGCTGGGGTGCCTCCAGGACCAGGGTTGGGAATCACTGGTATATACTGTATATCCACTTTACTGTACACATTTGGGACAGAATAAGGACCTTCCTCGTGATCGCTATAATTTGTGCAGTATTGTTCATTACTGACATTTAAGTAACTTATAAATATTAAATGCTTGAATCAATATGATTATTTTACTTGAAAGTGTATCTGTTATCGTTACGTTCTTACTGCTAGATGACTCATCACAGTTTCACTACCGCTATAGCGTTCGGTGTGATACTAAACTTATTGCTTATTAAAACCAAGGTTGACATCACTGTATAGTATTCTGTTTGCATTTATATCTTTATTTGTGCAGCTCTGAAGTACATGATTGTTAGTTAATAAGCGGGGATGTTGTGTTTATCTAGGACGTGCTTTTATGATGTATTTGTAATGTGCATCTTTGTCCTTATTGTTAAACTTTATAGTTAATCATTCAATTTATATTGATAGGAAAGGTGATTTATATATGTAAACAAATATATATAGGCTAATTGAATTAAGTGATGTTCTACAGTGTTGTAATCTTTTGTATTTTCTACATTTCTTTGTAGGAAAACACACACACACACACACACACACACACACACACACACACTCTTCTCAAACAGCATCCCAAGCTTGTAACACACATGATATCAGTCACAGCATATCCTACATGGCTAAAAATCACAAATTATATATAATTTTTTTTTCAAGCGAATGAGGAAAATACAGTGAGTTGAATCCAAGCAGCTCAAAAAGATTTTAGTTCTCTGCATCTTTCTGAAGGGGTCCGCCTGTGTTTGCGGTGTTGGATGCTTTGTTGTTAGACCATTTAAGCATGTTAATTACCCAAACAAAATGTTTAACGTAGTCTCTGGAAAAAAAAAAAAAATCAACAGTGATGAATTAGCCTATATTTATTGATTGTAGACGTTATTACTAAGTGAAGCAAAATTAGCGAAAATATCGACAACATACAGTATAAGAGCGCATGGTTTATCTGTCGATCAGATGCGTGTCAAGGTTGTGTTAGTACTATAGCAACAGAAGACTCACGACACATTGTGTTTTAAAAATCAAACAATCATTGTAAAAAAAAACAAAAAAAAACAACAACTTTTGTTATGTTGAGATCACGAAAGAAGATCAAGAAAGAAAAATAATCATAATCCATGGCCTCTTAGGACTTACGTATGCATGCTTTGTTTACATAGCCTAAGCATTTGTGTGTATTGCATGCAAAAATGGTAACCTAGAAATGCATTTATGTTGAGTCCCATGATGTCCCATTTTCCCATGTTGTCTTATATTTTCACAGACAGAAGAAGTGTATGGGCAGACTGTTAGAGTACAATGCTGATGTTAATATCTGCAATAATGAAGGTCTCACTGCTGTGAGTATGATGACAAAACTGCACATTTGAGACTTCATTAACAACAGCAATAATTATAATTTCATAGTTATGATTTGAAATTGTTATATATATATATATATATATATATATATATATGTGT